TCTCTTAAAAATATTATAAATAAGTAAAATGCCTAATTTATTATAGAAAATAGTGTTGAGCTGGCTTAAAATGTCTTTCCTAATCAAATTTTCACTGTTACTATGGAAACAAAGTGGCTGTTGTTGACAACAATAATAATTATTTTAAAGTGACGTTTGTGCTCGCGTCTTCAATTTTTAAGTGCCAGATATTATTTAAAATAATGGAAATTGCTAGTGACGATGAACTAAGTAGTACCCCACCTAATTTGGCAGATGCGGCCAATTTGGTAACTTCAAATCTTTTACCGGAAAAATCGAAGCGCCAATATGAAAATGCATATCGGCAATTTAAGGAGTGGTGTGAAACAAATAAAGCAAGAAAAGCATCCGAAAATGTGCTGTTAGCATATTTTGCAGAAAGATCCAAGAAGGTGAAGCCTTCCACATTATGGGCAGTATATTCTATGCTAAAATCAACACTTAATGCTAAGGAAAACGTAGATATTAAAAAATTTACCAAGTTGGTTCCATATTTGAAAAAATTGTCAGTTGGACACAACCCTAAGAAATCCAAGGTATTAACTCGAGAAGAAGTAAATCAATTCATAAGAGAGGCAGATGATGAAATATATTTGATGGCTAAGGTATATTTTTAATCATTGTTTTATATGTATTTTAAATTACTAAATATCGATATCCTTTTAGGTCGTTTTAATATTGGGTATTTCTGGTGCTTGCCGCCGTGAAGAACTCACTAAAATGAGTGTCGATGACATAGAAGATAAAGGTTCCATCTTGATTGTGAAAGTACCGGATACAAAAACGAACATACAACGAATTTTTACGGTTTCGAATCTAGATTATATCGATATTTACCGAAAATACGTGGCTCTTCGTCCAAGTTATGCTAGCAGTCGCCGATTGTTTTTGAAGTATCAAAATAAGAGATGCATTAACCAAGTTGTTGGAATAAATTCTATTGGAGGGATGCCCAGCTTAATAGCAAAATACTTAAAATTACCAAATTCTGATGCTTACACAGGTCACTGTTTTCGGAGAACCTCGGCCACACTTCTTGCTAATGCTGGGGGTGATATATGTAGTTTGAAGAGACACGGGGGATGGAAATCTTCCACCGTGGCCGAAGGATACGTGGAAGATTCTATCAATAATAAGATTCAAATATCAAATAAAATTTTAGATTGTGAAATTTCAGGATCACATGGTATCACCTCTACCTCAAAAATTAGTAGTGTTTCAACCCCCAAAACCCCAATATCCCGAGCTGAACCTGAATTATCTGGTTTAGGAATAAATATTGGTTCGTGTACTGGTTGTACGATTAATGTTAATATTGTAAATAATAACTAAAGTTATTGTAAAATTCTATCATTATTTTAAAAGTATTTAATTGTTATTCATTTAAAAATAAATAATAATTTGAAGTTTTGCTTCATTTTTTCAAAGATTGAAATACAAAACTCTTATTAATTTACATGCAGTGTGCGAAATACTTCGCCTGTCATGGTAACGTAAGAATCCGAAAAAAAGTATCACGTCGCATATTGTTGTCAATGCGCAAACCTTGTCATTTTTTGATCTGAATTTTAATCCCCTCCTTTAAGAGGGTATATCGCCTCAGGGGTGCAACTTTTGGCTCTACATTCACTGGTACCATTTTTGCTACTTCATTTAAAAACACCCTGTATAGAGGCAAGAAGAAAAATTAAACTAACAATACCTATTTTCAACTTATTGCACTTGGTGTAACTGAGTATATCTTTTGTGTTGTACTAAGTCAAAAACGCAATTTTCTCAATAATTATGATGAAAGAATTGTAACTGTAATGTTATTTGATTTCCTTAATCTACAAAATTGTAAAACAGTAAGTCGCACATTTTTTTCATTAGGCAAATGTATGTAAGGTAAGAAACATTTGAAGTATGTAGTTACATTCATATTTTGATAGACAGTTAAATTAAAACAATGTTTCGAAATCATAGTGTACAAATTGTAAAATTTTTCAAAAAATTAAAGCTCAGATAAAATGGGGACTAAAAAAAAATGACTGGTCTGTACTGGTACTTATTTTTTGAATTATGAATAATAATGCCGTCGGATATTGGAATAATAATATTTTTTCGAGCATAGAACTTTATAAAAGTATTTCTCTTAGTTATAATAAGTTAAGTAAAAGGGATTTGAGAAATGTATATTAAGTGCGATAATTTCAATTCGTGTAGAAGTGACCTGCAATCAGATAACACCATTGTTTACACTATTCAGTTTGAAAGAACAGGTTAATTTTTGTGTCCATCCTCAAAATGAATAAAGAATTTGTTAAAGATATTCTTGTTTCGTACATTTTAGATGACGGCCTTATTCCAAAAGTAATTGAAACTAGACGCAGATTTGGAAACTAAGGTACAATTTTCTAATAGAAGTATTAACACTAAATCGAGCTTCTAAGTTCCTTAACATCATTCTTATTTTTTATATACAGGGTGGGCCACCAGTAACGCCTCGGTCGCTAGTGACCAAACGGCAAATGTTATAGAAACCTGTTTAGGTGGGTACGTGTAGGTTGATTACGGCTACATTTTAAAAATATTTTGAAATATACAGGGTGTCCAGGAAAATCGTACCATATCAAAGTTATGTTTTTTTAAATGGAACACCCTGTATTTTACTGCATTTTTNTTGATATGGTACGCTTTTCCTGGACACCCTGTATATTTCAAAATATTTTTAAAATGTAGCCGTAATCAACCTACATATACCCACCTATACAGGTTTCTGTAACATTTGCCGTTTGGTCACTAGCGACCGAGGCGTTACTGGTGGCCCACCCTGTATATTAATAGGCGTATTAATCATTCCGTTTCTGGTAAATTTAATAAATCACATCTATTGAAGACACTTTGTATAAATCAAGCTTAAGAGATGCTAATGAATCTCTTCATTATCACGAACCGAACATTTTTGCAGACACATTTTTAAGACTGAGATACTAATTTAGTTAACATAATTAATAATATTTACGTAGAAAATGTAGACTTTTAACATAGAACTTCAGTTAGTCATTCACAATCGGCTCCAATTAGTAATTACCTGAATTTCGGACACAATTTGATAAAACAGTCACTGTCACAAACCACTAATTGACTAATTGAGTGTGAAGATTTGCTGAAAATCTTAAGGCGGGTTTCTCGTCCGGCGCTCCACCCACATCCTTAGGGAACCAGCAGAGGCCACCAACCAGAGAGGGAATGCTTCTGGATCCAGGAATAGACTGATGTGTCGCTGTACTTTAAATAATAGAATTCCACTTTAAAAGTGAGAGTTGAATTGTTTTGTTACTAAGTGCAATACATATTAACTCGAGAAAAATTAATTTTAATCCTACATTTGAAGAGGTTAGGAGCAAACAGTTATATATGTGTTATATTTGCTAATATCAAATACGTGCAGTGTTCGTAGGTAAACCAAAAAATCCATAAATTCCGCTTACCGAAAGATAACTCACTAGAAATAATAATAATCGATTATTACTTCTCAAACTGTAACTAAACAAGTTTAAAAATTAAAAAAACAATGTTTTCGTTGTCACCGTCAGTAGGTAGTAAATATTATTGGTTGTGATTTAATTTTATTTACTCAGAGTGTAGCAACGGCTTTATTTGGGACAAACTTTTAAAGCAAATTCATCCTGGCAGGCAAACAAATAAACAAAAGTAATATATTTTTTAATATTCCCGAAAGCTCTACGATATCCTGAATTTAAAGATAGGACAAGAAACACAGCTTCAGCAATAGTCAACTTTTTTTCAAATGGCAATATAGGTCTTTTTTTATTTATTTTCGTGTAGATTTCTATTCAACGAAGTATATAAAGTTTACATTTATGAAACATGTATTACAGAAAGAACATGAAAATATTAGTCAATACCGCATTATTAGCGCCCGGTCGCTTAATTGACAACAAACAATGTATGGAAAACAAAAAATAATACAATAAAGCAAGTAAATGTCATTTTAGCGTTCGTGACTCAGTTTTTTACGCATTATACTCTTTCTGTGTCATTTACAGTAGGTTATTTATTGAAATAAGCCCAACAGTGCAAAATATGAGTAATAATCAATCGACGGTCATGATTACGGTATACTTTCGGTGTAATAAAAATCGTGGTACAGGAGTCTTTACAAAACCTCACAAAGAAGTTCCAGAACCACGTAGACTTGAAGAAAATTTGAGAAACTATGGTGCTTTTAAGAAACCAAAGCGAGAAGAACGCCAATTTAATGAAAACATCGAGTTTTGTTTGTTTTTCTTAACGTTGAAGAAAACCCAAGAACTTCCATTCGGGATATTTCTAATAATATTTGAGCATCCAAGAGAACTGTACATGCAGTATTGAAAAAGCACAAATTCAAGCTATACTTTCCTTAAAAAGTACAGGCAATAGAGGAATACGATAGAGAACGACCTCTACAATTTGTTTCTTTAGTTGTGTTGTGTTTGTTTTATTAATGTTTAATGACCTTTTCCTTTTTGGTACTAGATTATATGTATTCTATTATAAATACTCTATTCTCTTTTGATTAAAATTTTATAAATTATTGGTGATAATTGAAAAAACAGGTAAAGAGTGACCGCAAAAACAGCATATTTTTAGCCTATTTTCTCACCCTTGCCAGAGACCTCAAAAAAATCCTAAAAATATTCTGCATATGTCAAATTATTGGCAATGAAAAATCAAGATGAGCATATTATTTAGTTTTTCGAAAAATTTCGAATATCACCCCTAATTAGGGGTTGATATGATGACGCAAAACAGAAATATATGAATAATATCAATAAGAATAAAAGCAATTTTTATTGTATTTTTTCCTATAAAATATCTTACAAATAATTTATTTTCATGATTAATGAGGGCGTGATATAGTTGTAAGTCCACCCTTAAATTCGCTAAGGGGCTTAAATGATCCACTAAATACGAAAAAAATAAAAAATTACTTCTAAAATCTAGGAAAAAGTACTAGTACTACTACTACTTCTACTAAATTAGTAGAAATTCAAATCGTGTACTTCTCACTAGTATAGAAGGGGTGAACTACCCCCGAACGTGATAACATACGAAAATATCATAGCGATATAAAAAAACTGTCGAATATTTTAGAATAGATCTTACTTTTCCGATCAGAAAGATTAAGCTGACTTGACCTAATAATTCCAAATTTTTTTTTATAGAAATCAACCCTCATAGGGGGCGAAATCATCCCCTAAACATAAATAAATCAAAAAAATATTTGAAAAATCTTGATTTTTCAAGTAATTTTTTATTTTTTCCGTATTTAGGGGATGATTTAAGCCCCTTAGCGAATTTAAGGGTGGACTTACAACTATATCACGCCCTCATTAATCATGAAAATAAATTATTTCCTATTTGTAAGATTTTATTTTATAGAAAAAATACAATAAGAATTGCTTTTATTCTTATTGATATTATTCATACATTTCAGTTTTGCGTCATCATTAGGGGTGATTTTCGACATTTTTCGAAAAACTAAAAAATATGCTCATCCTGATTTTTCATTACCAATAATTTGACATATATGCAGAATATTTTTAGGATTTTTTTTAAGGTCTCTGTCAAGGCTGAGAAAATAGGCTAACTTTGCGGTCACTCTTTAAATTGTTCAACTACATGTACTGTCTTTTTAGAACTGGGATGGTTTCTTTCTTTTACTGATTTTCTTATTTCAGTTGTACAAATTGTGCAACAAACACTTCATCATCAATTCATATCCTTCCTGAAATTCATTATATGCACCTAAGTACAAATAAAATAATATATAATCTATTTATAAATTCGTCATAACATGAAGGGATGTTTATTTGTTTAGGATATTTGAAATAATATACTTTTGATGGGCCCAAATGAAGCATGTTAAGAGTACGACTCTAATTTCACACGGATCTTGTATTTATTTTGGTAACAAAAACAATACTCGGGACGCTAAGAATAGGGCAACACGTTATTTCGTCCAACCACAGAGCCTTTAAATTTCTGCCATTCGAAATGATTATATTAGCCGTAAACTAGAGAATGGCACTTGTTTATTTTTCTTGTAATAAAGTGCAGCAATTTATGTTAACTTGATACGGGATATATCGGTTATTCTGTAAACGACGATAATAAAATATAATGCCTTGTTAAAATTTGTTGGGCTGTCATAAACAATGATAAATTAAGAGAGCAACACAGAAAATTTATTTATTTCTAGGCCATCCAAAGATTTGTGTATGTACTTAATATTATTTATAAAGTAGGGGTTTTTTAAGCAGAGCTAAAAAATCCAGGAGCGTATTCTGTGGCCAAAAATAAGGGTGTTTTATTATATAAATGTGGGGTCTTAGGACAGCCATTGTCCAGCTACAGCGTGTCAAAGATTAGAAAAAAATCAGTTTTTAATTTTTAATTTCTAAACCGCTTGAGATAATTTAACCAAATTTGGTGTGCATATTTAGTATGAGAGTAGGTATGTAACAAAAAATTATCAGCTTTAGAAACTTATCAGTGGCGGAGGTGTGGGTATCATCAATCATTATTTGCCAAAAAATATATATCACCCTGTATAATATTACAAATAAAATAGGTCATCATATGCGCCATTGTATTATCTTCACTTTTTGTTTCTTTACATATTTTGTATTCCAAACCAATTAACAACAAAAATTACTTAAACATACAGGGTGCGGTATTAGTGCGTCGAAGTACGATATCTCTTTTATTACAGAAGATATCAAAAAAAAGTTATTTACAAAAATTGTAGCCAACTTAAAACTGCACATTTTAAAATTATTTTCTTATGTACAGGCTGGTCCATTTTCGGTGGGATTTCAGGGTATCTCAGAAACTATTAAAGATATGATAAATCTGACACCACGTTCTCGAGTTCGATTTTCATGGCAAACTCGACTTTCAAATCGGAAATTTGCTATCTTCATTTGTTTCTGAGTTACAGGGTGTTTCTTGTTATTGTGACACTTTTGAACATGTCTGTATCTCAGCTATTAAATAAGGTAGAGTTAAAGTGAAAACTGCCCAAGACTAATTCTTTGGCGTAGAATTGAATGCCGGTATTAGATTTTTAGTAAGTCTTAAGATTCCGGAGTTATGACCAAGAGTTATATTTTTTTAAATGAAAATCGTAGCTGGTCATGACCTAAAAAAATGGAGATTTTTTTTGCTTTTCAGCAATATATCACATATGCTATAGTTATTTTTACAAACACAATAGATACGGGGTGTTTTATATATAAATCCGATATTTTTTTACATTTTAATATGGCTGGCTATGAAAATACATACAAAACTATAATTCTTACTTTTACAAAACTCATATCTACTGTAAAAATATGACGTTTATTTAAAATATATATTACAGAAAAGAAAAGACAGAGTTTTAAAATTTTTATTCCACTTATAACTTTTAAAGGGGAAGTAATACAGAGAAATTTCTCTAATAAAAGTTTATTAGAAAAAAAGAGAGCTTTTTAACAGGAAAAAAATTTGGGTATGTTTCTGGAAAAAATATAATAGATGACGTCAGTTCGTTTCTGTCAAATCCCAAAGATAATATTTTCTATTGAAAATGGACCTTACCTCATCTTATTTAATACCACGTGTCCTAAATTTTATTTAAATTTTTTGTATCCTCACAGTAGGCCCATACTATCGAGTTTGAGACACCCTGTACATGAACCAGTGAGAAAAATCATGGATTTGATTTGTTTTCTTGTCCGTAAATAAATAGTAACCATTTAGTAGAGAAAATATATTTGGGCAGACGTTTGGATGAGTTGGTATTAAAAAAATATTACAATTTATTCTGCTAAACCATTAATGCTTTTTACCACGTTCAGTGTCACCATAGATTTGCAAGGTCTCGAAGTCATCAATTGTTTTTGGTCAAAGATATCAGTATCGACACTTGTCGATCTTCGGGAACGATATGCGCTGTTCCTGTTCTTATAGGATTGAGCTATCCTAGCGGGTCGCTGAAGGTAATGTCCTGATGTCCCGATTTCACTCCTTATCCACGGATCTTCTGCTACCCTAGAAAATTAGAAATTAACAGCACAGCGCGAAACAGATAAGTTATTATACAGTGTCCCCCTAAAGTCGTGCACAAATTTATTATTAGGTAAACAAAAGAAATTATTAAAAATTTCCGAAACAGGTCGATTTTTGAATTTAATTTACTATTTTTTCAAATAATAATTTAATATACAGGGTGACCTATGTTCGAGTAATGACGTCATCACAATTTTGTTTAAATGGAACACCCCACTTTTTTTCCAATTTTCGGATTGCCCTAACTGAGCTGATTCCAAAAATATACCACAAGTTGCTTCTAATTGTTACAGGGAGGACAACAATACCCAAATTATTTACAAATACTAAATTTATTTACAAATAAATAAACGTACTAAAAATTGAATCAAATCACCACATATCATTTTAAAATGTCATTATTTTTTGCTATAATTTCTTTGATGCTTTTTTAATTTTATCTGCCTGATAGAACGTGCTCGTGTATTTCTTGCAGGCAATCATTTTTAAATAGTTTGTTAAGATTGTACAAGTAAATCCATTTTGAATGATTCTTCCTTAAAATATTGAGTATTTTTGAATTAATTAAAAAACATGATTCTAAGTGAAACCGAACGGATTGAAATTCTTATGATGATCGGATATGGTGATAGAATTCGAACTCATGAGGAAGTTTGTGTTTTGTTTAATGAAATTCATCCCAATCGTCCACCAATAAATCGATCCACGGTTAGCCGAACTGAAGCAAAGTTTCGAAATCATGGTCATGTTAAAGATATGCCCAGATCTGGCCGACCGACTGTAGATGAAGAAGTGCAGTTACAAGCCCTTTTGACCATTCATGAAAACCCGCAATCCAGTCTGAGAGTCGTAGCAGATAATTTAGGAATGAGTGAAAGTACATTGAGTAGACTTCTTCACAGAAACAAGTATCATCCCTACAAAGTCCACTTAGTACAAGAATTATGTGACGATGATTTCGACAGACGCACAGAATTTTGCGAAATGATGATGGAAGAATGTCAGGCAGATCCGGATTTTGTGAAACGCATAATTTTCTCCGACGAGGCGTCTTTTTATTTGAATGGCACCGTCAATAAACAGAATTGTCGGTACTGGTCAGATCGCAATCCACATTGGATGATGGAAGCACACACTCAGCATCCCCAAAAGGTCAATGTTTGGGCCGGAATTGTTGGTAATCGAATTTTGGGGCCGTATTTCTTTGAAGGAAATTTAGATGGTGCAAGATATTTGGAATTTCTTCAGTTCCATTTAGTTCCTTCCTTGAGTGTTCTATTTCCAAATGAAGAAGATCCAGATTTGCCCAATGAAACCATTTGGTTTCAGCAAGATGGTGCACCACCGCACTATGCCAGCGCTGTTCGCCGCTATTTAGATGACGTGTTTCCTCATCGGTGGATTGGCAGAAGAGGACCTAAGGAATGGCCCGCCAGATCACCAGATTTAACACCGCTCGACTTTTTTCTTTGGGGTTATGTAAAAAGCAAAATATACGTCAATAAACCAAACAGTATTAACGATCTGAAGGAACGAATTCGGCAAGAAGTTCGAGCGATCCCGCCTGAAGTCATTGGGAATGTACAGCAAGAATTTACTTCCCGTCTGGCCCATTGTTTCTCAGTAAATGGTCAACAATTTGAACATTTAATTTAGCTGTTTCAGGTGATTTGATTCAATTTTTAGTATGTTTATTTATTTGTAAATAAATTTATTATTTGTAAATCATTTGGGTATTGTTGTCCTCCCTGTAACAATTAGAAGCAACTTGTGGTATATTTTTGGAATCAGCTCAGTTAGGGTAATCCGAAAATTGAAAAAAGGTGGGGTGTTCCATTTAAAAAAAATTGTAATGACGTCATTACTCGAACATAGGTCACCCTGTATATTAAATTATTATTTGAAAAAATAGTATATTAAATTAAAAAATCGACCTGTTTCGGGAATTTTTAATAATTTCTTTTGTTTACCTAATAATGAATTTGTGCACGACTTTAGGGGGACACTAGAACGAGGTACCTACCGAGTAATATAAGAATATATCTATTTTCTTAAGTAGGTGTATTTATTTAAATCACTATTAAGGATTTAGTTAAAGTTAGTACATGGTAGTTATTAATTTATACAGTGCTTTTCCAATCATAGATAGAGAAAAATACAAAAAAAAATGTTAATAAAAACTATTTCTACCTGTTGATTACACTGCCACACACAAAAAATAGTTGTATGTATTTTTCATGCGACATATGTTATCCGTAGTATTTTGCCTCCTGATCACGAATCCGGTGTCAGAATTGAGCTATCACATCACAGGAATTTCCTAACCTCAAAAAACTGGTCAAAAACCTCAGACTAATAAATAAAGGGGACGCCTTTATTTACATTCGATAGTGAAGTGTTGACATATGTGTATTTACAAACATTGGTACTTGTGACGTCCTTGACGTTGATGCCAATGTTACATTTTTATCTTTATAGTTAGGTACAGGGTCTATCTCATTCTTGACCTCGACTTACAAATTAGTTACATTGTAATATGCATAAGACTACGACACTATTTTCTTGCAACTTGTTTTATAATTATAGATTTTGAATATCTGAAAAAAAAATACATTATTGAAATTCCTAGCAGTACAAGCGCCGTAAGTGGCATCATTGCCTGGTATTAAACGGTTCTAAGGGGACGCCATTATTACAGTCTATTGTTGTGAAATAGATATTAGTCGAGTTCAGTGTTTTGTGTCTTTTTAAACTGTGTTTTTCTATTTAATTTCAATAAAAATGTCAAAGCGGTGTATAATATGCTGACAATTAACAGAAAAGAGCCAAATATGTGCTACTTCTTTTCACAAGTAAGTTTGACATTGTTTCCATGGGCGTTCTTACAAGGGTGTAAGGTGTCCTAAGTATTTTATTTGTTAATTTATTATGTTTGTATTTTGATACTGACACTAGCTCTGTGTTTATTTGTAGAATACCATAAGATCCTGCTATAAGAGCAGTGTGGCTAGAAAATTTCGCCGTATCTGAATATGATTTTTCAAAGGATAATTATGTCTGTCGAAGCATTTCCGTGCTACAGATATTAAGGTAACAGTAACTGGAAAACGATGTCTCACACATGGAGCTGTCCCTATTAATACAACATTTGGAAGGTAATACGTTTTAGCACAGTGTTGATGAAATGGTTGTGCCGTCTCAAAGGTTCCCTCTTCGAGAAATTGCCAGTGAAGGAAATTTTATAGATGTTGCTATAAAACATCTTCAATCACATGTTGCCCCTGTTCCATAAGAGTCGAGCTGTCAATGCTATGAGCTCAAAATTCAGTTTATTTTTGTTGCGTACATTTAAAACGTGCTTATTTTCCCATACGATTAAATGTTGTTCAATGTAAATTCATTTTTCCGTTACTTTTAATACAAATATGTTTTGTTTTCTTTGCATTGTTTATATTCCAGCAGATTTTAATGAAATATATTTTTGCTCCTTTTCTTGTAGTTTTATTTAAATTATTTATTTTAATAAATGTAGTTCTTCTAGTAATCGAGAACTACTATGAAATAATAGAACTAATAGCAGGCAATGACATTGCTATAGCTATAGTATAATGATAGTTTCAATCGAGGAGTTTTCTTTAGTCATTCTTTTGGTCTGGAAATGTTTTTAAAATATTAATTATAGATTTTGAAGAAACCATTAACTTTTTCCTATTTATTGTCTATTTATTACACATGAAAGCTTAAATAATCGAGCACTTCTGATTTTATTCTATTAAAAAGTATAATTTTTATGGTTTCCTTATATTATGATAGATTTTAAACCTAAACTCGGTACGCCACTGTACCAGGGACCAGGTACAGACCCTGTTTACTTATGTATCATTTGTTTATCAACATACAATAGGTTGAGGTTACATGTTTACATTGTGTACTGAAATAGGGAATGCGGCCTCCCCTTTATTTATTACTCTGAGTCAAAAACGGCAAACATTTACGAAAAAGTGCTAGGAAAAATACATTTTGTTTTTTCTATATTCAAATGTTCATTTATATGGTTAAGACCCCGCCCCCGCCGAACGTGAATCCGCTGTCAAAATTGATGGCTCTTTTTCTAACCTCAAAAAAAAAACTGGTCAGTTAAGGTTAGATATCACGAATTTTCAAAAAATAATCCATTCACGCCAAATTTGGTATACGGGGGTTTTCGGGGTCGTTGATTACGAATTCGAGGTCAGAATTGCGAAACTCATTTTGTAATATTTTTGTTTACTTTATAGCCTGAGTACCCAATCATATTTTAACCTTCTTAAAGTACTAGTGATTCACTATATTTTGACCCCCCTTTAACTTTTTTGTCCTAAGAGTTATAAAAAATATGAAATACCAAAGTTGCACGATTTTTTATGAAGTTTTCCGAAAATTATAGTAGAAAAACAAACGAAGTCCAAACAAAATGATTGCGGATGTTAACTTTGTCAATTTAAATGGAACACCCTATATATTTTTACATAATTGGATAGAACGTTCTGTGTCGTGTATAGTCATATAGGGTTTGTTGGGTCCATCTCTAACAATAAGCGAGATAATATTAAAAAACGAAAAGAAGGTTTTTTATTAAGTAAATAAGACAACTTGTAATTTATTGTTATACCTCTTTCAAGCATTTCTGCAATTTTTCTAATTACGTAAGGACTTACAGATTTAGTTGTAATATATTTTGACATATCGGACATTGATACGGTCCAAAATGCGTACGAATATAGGTATTTTAACTAAATCTCCCTAATTAGGCCGTGTGAGGCCTATTTACTCATGGACAATGTTATATGGTAGGTCGTGACAGTGACAGGTAATAATGTCATGATAACATTGTTATTGATCGACAGTTTGTATTATTATTTAATTAAAATGGGTTACACAGAAGTGGAAAATTGAAATATTATGGAAATTAGAATAGAGTAAACTTCTACTCCATGCTCTATCTTAATTCCTACTAATATTTCAATTTTCTACTTCTATGTAACACATTTTAAATAAATAATAATACAAACTCTCGATCAATAACAATGTTATCATGACATTATTACCTGTCACTGTCACGACCTACCATATAACATTGTCCATGAGTAAATAGGCCTCACACGGCATAATTAGATATATTAGAAAATACCTATACTCGTACGCATTTTGGACCGTATCAATGTCTGATATGTCAAAATATATTACAACTAAATTTGTAAATCCTTACGTAATTGGAAAAATTGCAGAAATGCTTGAAATAGGTCTAACAATTACAAGATGTCTTATTTACTTAATAAAAAAAAACTTCTTTTCGTTTTTTAATATATCTCGCTTATTGTTAGAGATGGACCCAGCAAACCCTATATGACTATGCTCGAAAGAGAACGTTCTATCGAAATATGTAAAATATACAGGGTGTTCCAATTAAATTAACAAAGTTAACATCCGTGGCCATTTTGTTTGTACTTCATTTGATTCTATACTATCATTTTCGAAAACTTCTTAAAAAATCGTGCAACTTTTGTAGTCTTCTTTTAATTCTTAAAACAAAAAAGTTAATGGGGGGGGGGGCAAAATATAGTGAATAACCCTATACATAGGTGATTTAATAAATTTTTGAAAACGACTTTTGTAAATCTGATCTCGGGTTCGTGATTGAATGAATGAAATTTGGCGCGAATCTGTTATTTTTTGAAAATTTGGTCGGTTATCTTGACTCCGCCATCTTGAATTTTACAAAATTGACCTCGGAACCATGATCAACGACCCAGAAACCCCCCGTATACAAAATTTGGCGCGAATCTGTTATTTTTTTAATATTCGTGATATCTGACCTTAATTGACCCGTTTTTTTTAGGTTAGAAAAAGAACCATCAATTCTGACCGCGGATTCACGTTCGACGGGGTCTTAACCATATACCTAAATAAATATTTGAATATATTTATAAAAAAAATTGTATATTTTCGTGAATTTTTGCTATTTTTGACCTGTTTTTTGAGGTGAGGAAATTCCTGTGATATGATAGCTCAATTCTGATACCGGATTCGTGATCAGGAGGCAAAAATACTACGGATAACATATGTCGCATGAAAAATACAGACAACTATTTTTTTGTGTGGTTCTGTATAATTTTTCCGAAGTCAATTGAAGAACCTATAATTTCAAGGTATGTACTAGGCTCGGTCGTTAAGCAGCAACTCGGCATTGAAATATTTGAAAAACTTGTTCCCACATTTATTTAGCCATACCCATATATGTATAGGTCTGGCCGAACTAAACGTGCAAGTGGTAGAAATGTATACGACCAGTTGAAGAATGCGAGCACGGCCAAAGGAAATAGAGCACACGAGGCTTCTGGGCAATCAATCACAGCAGACGACAAGTGGTTCATAAACTGCCCAGCAGTGCAGTGTACCAGTGCGGAATTTGGTGTGAATTAGACAATTTTAATTTATTATAGGCACCTTCTATCAATCATTCATATTACCATTGTGAAAGGGAGAAATAAGAGGGATATTTTGTTTACTAATATTATCACAACATGGCATTTTGGAAACGTTTTGAAACGGAACAAAACAAAATTTACCACCAATATAATAAAATTGTTTGAGGACATAAACAATTAAAATATGTTGTTGACCAAATGAACATATAATATAAATTTTCAACACATTTTTTTATGAAAAACTAAAAAAACTATGAAACTCAAATTTTATTATCAGACGTTTTTTTGCATATTCAACTGACTTTGAAAGGATTATACCATTTTGTACGTGAAACAGTAACAGTAACATCCTGTATATTTATAATAACATTTATAAGTGCTACTGTTAGGAATTTTATATAAATAATGATAGACATAAGCAACATATTTAGTTCAAAATTATTGTGTTGTAAATAAATTTCTCACAATATGTTTTTACAACTACAATTTGTAGAATTATTATAATTTTTACTAAATTCAAATACAGGTAACATATTTATATTGAATGCTGGCTATTTTTCAACACGCTAATTGGAATATTCCCAATATTTGACTGATTTTTATAAATGCGATCGAAATTTATTCTTCTTTGAATTATATACGTATACCCGGGACATATTTAAATATATTTTATACACAACTGATAAGTAAAATGTCAAGTTTATTTATGTTATACCCAAATAACTACAACCAGTAATCCTTAAAAATAGTATACAAATCCTCGCCTGGTTCTTATATTTATAAATATGTATAATAATGACAAAGAAGCGCTAGTGGAAACGTTTTTGTTCAATATATTGCAATTTTCTATTGAATAAATAGAAACTACTATTTTCTATAGTAGATAATAAATGATTTCTGATAATTGTTCTGTTAAATAATTATTCTAATAAAAATAAAATTTGAATTACTTAAAATTTGTGTAAACATTTGATTATTCCTGTAAAAAAACGTTGAAAACTTAAAAAAACGAACTGAAAACAATTTAACTTAAATGACATGACAAACACTAATCATTCGCTAACATTAGTCATCATTTTAATGATTTTATTTGAGTAAATGCTCAAAAATTCCTCCATTTCCACGAACACAGGCGCGACATCTTTTAGTAATGAAAATGTAATTTGTTCGAAATTTATTGTTGCTTGAATCTGATGAAAATAATTATATATTTATTCTTTCTTCTAACTGCTCAGGTGTATTAATTTGTTCACCCCTCAAGAAGAAATCCAGTGGGTTGAGAGATCCGGTGTTTTCAGTTCGTTTTTGAAGTTTCACTCAAAAATCAGGCTTTTTTTCAAAAAAACATCTAGGAGAGTAATTTGTAGAAAATTGAAAGACGATTCCTAAAATACACATAGTGGAGTACCGTGGGATGGGGTTACTTTCAATTTCAGGGGCTACTTTGACAGAAACATTGATGATCTTATTTTATATTCTTCCTTCCGACATTTCTCGAGATATTAGGCAGATATCATAATATGGCAACTCCTCATAGTTAACGCGATCATGTCTAATCGTTCCTCAGTGAACCAGTGATGTTTATAGAGTGTACCAGGCTCTTATTTAAAAAACGATATTTTATCCCTTTTTTGAAGCCAATATAACTTCAAGCGCACAAGAGAAACAGGCACTAGGAGTAAAGTGCCTGTTTCTCTATATATCCTAATGGGTTAACCATTTTAACCCATTAGGATATTAAAAACTGAAAAATATTGCATAGTAAATATGGCCGAAAAATTTAAATATTCTGTCTTGGGGTAACTTTGATCGGGGTAATGGGGTAACTTTGATCGATGTAGTGGGGCAGTTTTGAAAATTAACAAAGTCTGTGAAGTATCTTTAAGTAGTATAAGATTTATGTTTGTTTCCTTAATATAACACTAAGTTTCTAATTTCTGGTGTCTTAATGCCATTTATAAGTTCAATTTTTTTCTTGTCATTCAGTGAGATTGTTTCGGATATATATTTTTCATGCCTGTGTAAAAATAAGGGGTTACTTGTCAAATATCATGAAAATTAATGAGGTGGACAAAGTAACCCCACTCGGAGTTTAACTTTGTTTTAGTCTTCAGGAATTAATTTTTCAAAAACTAACATACTTTAGCAAAAACTCTGGACGAGCCGATAGCTCGGAGAAAACCGATATTGAGGTTATTTTTATAACAGATTTGAGACTAATACAAATGAACAACTCAACAACTTTTTATTTTTAGCAAAGTAACCCCATCCCACGGTACTATATATTATTGAGAAAAATATGCCACCGATACCCTGTTCTCCGCCACTGGAGCATCTAAATTTTCGGAAAAGGACTCAGATTTTGGATGATGTTTACATAAGTACAAGTGCCCAATTTGGGGTGGTATGGTTGGACTGATTTTGGTGTCGTGTTTTGAAAAGTTTTATAAGACACATAAGATAGGCACTGAATTTGTGTGTAGGGGCTCCAAATTAGTATATTATTATTAAGATATTATTATTTCCTGATTTTACTTAGGACTGTTTGTATTGTTTGCGAATGGAATTAATAAATATTAATAAAATAAAATTATACATGTTTTCCCAGAATACAGTGAACGTTAAAATGACATGACATCCTTATAAAAAAGACGCCCCAAAAATCGATTTTTTCTAATAACGTTTAAAATATTTAGGCCCGGTACTTTGAGTCTCGATTAAGGCTTGATTAACTAATCAGGCGATTAGACTGTGATTATACTTTATAAAATAAATCAGTATTATGTACAGTCTAATCGCCTGATCAGTTAATCAAGCTTTAACCGAGACTAAAAGTACCGGGCCTTAGTGTAATTTAATTATTTTTTAATACGATGGACAACAGATAAGCCTCCTTAAAAATTGGTCCATGAAAATAATTTGCCTTATTTGGTTTGCCAGGGACGGTCTAGCTGTAGCACAATAATGTCATTTGTTTACGCCTTTTACGACAAAGGCACAAAAATACTATTTTTAGATAGCTTCAAACCTTAAACTAAAAAAGGCACTCTTGATTGATATCGAGAAAAACTATTTTTCTTTAATATGATATCTTTATTATATCGATAAACCGATGAAATTTGCATTCTTTCTGTACCTATCTAAAAAATTGCCACTTTTATTTACATTTGTTTCTTCCTAAAAAATGGCCAACTTCAAATTATTTCACTTACTAATTTTTAATTTATTTTAAAAAATTCAAACCATTTTTTTTAAGTTTAATAATCACCAAAGAATACGAGATTTCATTTTTGGTCGCCGTTTGTGAATCACCCTGTACAGGGTGAGTATTAATATAACTAATATACGACAAAAGTGACTTACCACATCAAAAAGTTTGGTATGTTCCTCCTGGTTACTTGACTCACACACAAAATTAAAAATGGCACCGTAGAAAGAGTTAGAGCAAACATAAATATTAAGGCATGGTTAATTGTTTGATTCACAAAAATTTCTTCTTTTGGACTAGTCATCTAAAAAGTATAAAAACAACGACAAACGTTATTTTTATTTTCTTAATCTAATATTCTAATCTTTCTATCTAACATTTTTAACTATTTAAATTGTATTAGAATAAAATTATATTAACATCAAATTTGCTTTTAAGAAACACTATTCATTTTATTGCTTTTCTTAATTTTTAATTTTCTCCTGATTTTATCGATGTAGGTACATCTGTAAACTTTTAGCTTTTGTGCTTTTTTAGTTTTTTTTATCTCAAGCGGTTACTTTTTGGATCAATTTAAGCCAATCAACCAGGGTCTAAAGCCATTGATTTCCTAGACACATTGTGAAAATTTTGAAAAATATTAAATATATTTAAGAGCTTGAATTAAAAAGTTTTAAACTAATAGCTATACAAATACCTATAAATTTCTAGCCATTATATTTCGTATGTGCTTATTCAAAAAAACTATTTTTCTGTTTATTCGAGAAATAGTCTACCTACGTAAAATAAAGACTTACCTCAATATAGTTGTCTAGTACGGATAATAGGTACCTTCCAAGTTTCATAAACAAAAACCAAATTCTAACTAAATAAAAGTATATCCAGTGAAATACGGCGTCCTGCAACAAAAATTAAGTGATTATTACTTTTGTCAATTCATTTAAAACAAGTTTATGTCAGATCGTTCATATTTGTCTTTTTTACAGTTTCTATAGGTATAAATGTGAATTGGGTCTAACAATTTAAAAAAATATATGTTTTCTTCTAACTTACCTTGTAAAGTCGTGTTTTCCATCTGGTGGATGGGAATGTATACCGGTGGAGATGAAAATAAAGAAGAACAAACGTACATGATAGAAATATTAAAGTTGGTACGATCGAATATGGATTAGGATCTAATTTCGAAGACTCCAAAGCACTATCTAAATATCTTGTGTGTTGTTTTCTTATATAGTTCATGTTATTTGATTCCTCACTGAAATTTGCTTAATACGTCATTTTGATTGAAATATTGACTTTGCGCTTTGAAATATGTATAAAGATGACGGGACAAACAATTAGCTATAAACTCGATAATAATAAGCTAAACAATGAATACTTATTCCTTCAACTTGCTTGAATATACAATTATAGTTTATATTTTGTGCATATCACTTTTAAAAAGTACCTATACTTATCCGTGATGGAAAATAAATATTTGACCCTAAAAATATGACCAAAAATAATATTTGTCGACCTTTGGGCAACTTACAACATGATTCCGTAGTTTTTTACAATCTGGACACCTTTGCTTGTCATTCGCGTACTTTGACGTTTTATATAACTTGTCATTAAATGTCAATTTAAACCAAAATTTGGAATCAAAAGAAACAACAAATGTGTGAAATAACAGTGAACAACCGTAATTCTGTGAATAAGTTAAAGTTGATAGTAACTCAGACAGTGACGAAGAATTTATAAATACTCCACCGGACTTGCAAGAGAAATATTTTTCTGAATTTTTATCTACAAAGTCAAAACAACGGTACGAAGAGTATTATGAATTGTTCAATAACTGGAAAACGAATAAAAAATCCAAAAACTTAACAGAAATTGTACTACTTGCTTACCTATCATAAAGATGAAAGATTGTAAATGCAGGTACACTAGAGTCTGAATTTTCAATGTTGAAAAGCACTTTTAAAGTCAAGGAAAATATTAATTTTGATAATTTTCATAAAGGTTAAGCATTTTTAAAACAAAATTCTGTAAATTACCTGACCAAAAAGTCTAAGAGTTTGACTCAAGAACAATGTTTTAATTTTTTTTAAGGAAGCACAGAAATCAGAATATCTTATGATGAAGGTAAACAAGTTGAACAAATTATGTTTTTTTATTAGCTTTGCATTATAGGATTCTCTTATTATAAGACTATACAAGTTTGTCGTCAAAATGAGTTGTTGAATATGAAACTTGTCCACATAGAATAGACGAGACACATTGATTGTTACAGTTCCACAAACAAAAAATAATATTACAAGAACGTTTACAGTCACAAAAAAAAACAGCTGATGAACTGAATCTACTCACAATATACAACAAATATGTTTCCCTGAGACCTACTCACACTCCTTATATAGGCCAGGTAATATAGAGTTGGACGCGACTTTTTGTTTCGGCAAGCTGAATTTATCACCATAGATGAACAATATATACATATATTATGAACAATATCATATTAGTTTCCACAGTCAGAAAAATGGGGGGAAGATTGTTTCCAGGGTGGTTAATTGTACAATTTTTACGTAAATTTTCGCTTATAACTTTTTCCCGTTCATTTCCACGAGAAAACAGTAAAGTACTTTTTTTTCGTCTTCAAAAGATCTACAGAACTAGCCCTCGAGCGTCAGAAAATATTGATTAGATAAAAAATTATAAACAGAAGAAATTTATTTATGACTGTTAAATTAAACATTTATAAACTGATGCGTTATTATTACCAGAACGTTTTGGCATCGCATCCTCTCATTCCTTATCACTGTCTAATAACTGACACGAAATCTGGAATCGGTAAGTTGAACAGTTTACAAGTTATGGCCTTATAAACAAATTAACTAATTATTAGTCTGGACGAATCCGAAAATCTTCCATACGACGCAGGGGCTTGTTTTGGTTTTTCCTTTTTGGGAAGGTTTTTGAAAGGGGTTTTAGTTTAAAAAAAAATCGTCAAGATTCGTTGAAAAACAACAGAGTTACAGACTGTCAAATAAATTATTTTCAAGCGAATTTCGCTTATTTAACGGCAGGACTATAAATATTATCGTCATTTTCTTCGGACTTGTTGTTGTTCGCTTTCTCCACCATTCACGACCCACTGACTTGACAATATTTCTTATGCACTTAACATACTTCCACGAATAAAATATTTTTATCTGGGAAAGTACTCGAGTTGCCGGTTATGATAGTATTTTTTTGCCGCTACCAACCTAATTTGTTTAACAATAAGCTGTCAACTTTGAAAGTCTGTAACTAATGTATTATTATCAATTCTACCATGAAAAAAATCAGTGCGATTGTGGAAGATCCTCGGGATCGTCCAGACTAATAAAATTAGTTAATTTGTTTATAAGTCCATAACATGTAAACTATTCAACTTAACGATTCCAGATTTCGTGTGAGTTATTAGACAGTGATAAGGAATGAGAGAATGCGATGCCAAAATGTTCTGGTAATAATAACGCAGTTTATAAATGTTTAATTCAAAAGTCATAAATAAACTTCTTCTGTTTATAATTTTTTATCTAATCACTATTTTCTGACGCTCGAGGGCTAGTTCAGTAGATCTTTTGAAGACGAAAAAAAGTACTTTACTGTTTTCTCGTGGAAATGAACGGAAAAAAATTATAAGAGAAAAAAGTGAATTTACGTAAAAATTATACAATTAACCACCCTGTAAACAATCTTCCCCCCCCTCCATTTTTATTACTGTGGAAATGAATATGTTATGGTATATAATATTTAGCATCTATAGTGATAAATTCAGCTTGCCGAAACAAAAAATCACGAAATGGGCATTTCCCTGCTTATTTTCCTGGCATAATAATCGTCTATTCATTTATTATAAGAATAATAAATGCACAGTGGGACCGATCTGAATAAATGTATTTAGCAGAATTCCAAGCAAAATAGCCACTTTTTTTAAACTACCTGAACCTAATACATACACAGGACATTACTTCCGCCGTAGTTCCGCAACTCTACTAGTTAACTCTGGGAGTGATTTACTAACATTTAAAAAACATGGGGGTTGGCGTTCTTCTTCAGTTGCAGAAATATATTATTTATCGATAACTGCTTATCAAATAAGATTCACATTTCTCAAAAAATCCTGACAAAGACAAAGCAACAGTCTAGTACTAGAGAAAATAACACAACTGAAGTATTAAATATTTCCGACCAAATAAATGAAATACCAGTTAATCTAGATAATTCCGATGAACCATCAACTTCATCTATAGAAATAAGTCACCATGCTGCTAACACTTTAAACATTTACCGAATGCCTACAAATTATGGTATTACTAAGTATCAATAATTATGCTCAAGGGATAGGTAATTATTTATTAATAAGAAAGAAATAAATTCGCAAATTGATACTACTTAAGCTCCTTATTAAGTTATGTTAATATTTATGAAATTAATGATTTTTGTTATATTTTTCCTTTTTTTGGTTTTGTTTAATGCTAGGTGAAAAACAGTTGTGTGTCGCACATGCAGAAAATGCATTAGTAGCCCTTAGCTATCAGCTAATATCTACGTGCTCATTTTCTGCCCTTATGACACAATATTTTCTGCCCTTGTGACACAATATACTATTCTAGAGATACCTACTACCGAAAAAAATGAAAGAGACCCTTGAGTTTGGAAGTTTGGAAACGAATATTAAGAAAATGCATTGGCGAAAAAATTTGAAATTTGAACCATATATAGCCTCACTATTACTCTATTGTGTGCTAAAATTTCAGTTAGTTTTGTTATCCCATTTTTTAGATATTAATGAAAAAATTCACGGTTTTCCGCATACAAAATTAATACCCCTCCCTTTACCTAGTCGTTAATTGGTAAAAAAATTCCAATTTTTTACTAACTATAAGTCGAACTATTGTCTTTAGTACTGTGAAGGTCATTTGCCTCAAAAGCTATACTTTTTTTTATTTTTAAGCAAAACAGAAGGGGGTGCTATCTCCTTCTGTTTTGCTTCAAAACAAAATTCATACTTTTTTCAATTGAAATTTAAAAAAATTGCTGAAACAGGTTAATCAGTAAACTGAAATTGACACTTTTCTGCAACATTTTCTATTACCGATATTTTTTTTAATAGGACGCTCTATATTTTATAGTATAAATAGATAGCCCTTCTAAAAACGAATTCAGCGATATAAGGTTAGGTATACTTACTGTTTTGTCATAGTTGTTAAAAAATGGAGGAATTAAATGAAAACAATAATTTAGTACTATTTTTTATTTTATTATAGCAAATGTTCAAAGTGGCCCCATTAACCATTACACAATGCCCAATTCGGTGTTCAAAGTTATCAATTACATTTGGAATAACATTTGGTGTTATGTTCCGAACTTCTTATTTCACATATACTTTGCTTTTTAGATAACCCCACAAAAAAATCTAGTGGGGTTAAGTCAGGGAAGCGTGGTGGCCATTCAAGCAGCCTTCTTCTGTCTATCCATCGATTTGGGAAATATTCATTAAGGTAATTTCTTACATGGAGGCGAAAATGTGGAGGGGCACCATCTTGTTGGAACCAGACATCATCGGCAGGCATATCGTGCTCACTGGGATTAGGAAAAATTAATTCCAGGGCTGGAATCAGCTGAAAACACAAAAAATCCAAATAAATGTCGCCTGTCAAATTGCCCTCAAGGAAATAAGGTCCCAGTATGCGATTTCCTACTATTCCAGCCCAAACATTCACTTTTTCTGGCCGTTGTTTACGATTTTCTTGTATCCAATGCGGATTTTCTGGGCTCCAAAACCTAGTATTTTACCTGTTCACGGTTCCGTTTAAGGAAAAGTTGCTTCGACAGTGAAAATTATAAGATTTTTTAATCTCATGTGTCTTTCCTTTCAAATAAATTTCTAATTTCCTCGCAGGACTGTAATCTTCTGTTTGTGTCATCTGCTCATAGTTCTTGTAAGACGTTAACTTTGTAAGGATGCCACTTTTGAGACTTTAGAGTTCTGTGAACTGAGGACTTCGACTAGTTGAAGTTTTCTGAGATAGATCTAATAGATGAGTGAGAATTTTCAATAACGGCGAGCATCACATTTTGACAGTCATTTTCACTTACCGTTTTTCGCCTTCCCGATCCAGGTAAATCTTTTATTCGTGCGGTTTCTTCAAACTTTTTGGAAAATTTACTTATTGTAGCTCGACTAATTTTCTGGTCTGTATACTTATGGT